CGGCGGTAGCGCTGAGCGAACCACTCGCGTAGCTGCTGTCGCGAGAGAGGTGGCCGCTGCGACACAGCACCAGGAGGACCGCCAGGAGACTCAGCACCCCCAGAACTAGCACCTCCAGCTCCAGCAGCAGAAAGAGGGAGACCCAGAGGAACGCCAGCAGACTCAGCACCCACGGGCCTGGTACCCCCAGGCTCAGCACCCCCAGACTCCGCACCCCTAGGCTCAGCACCCCCAGACTCAGCACCCCGAGCAACACCGCCCCCAGCAGCACCAGAGGCAACCGGAACCGGCCACAGAGGCAGCGAAGACGGTCGAGGTGGAAAACCCGGAGGGGTCTCCAAGCGTGGTGAGCGGCGGGGGGGCACCTCGGGGCCTCCAACTCCAGAGCCGACAGCACTAGCTCCAGTGCCTCCAGTCCCAGTACCTCCGGCAGCAGCACCCCCCAGCACCTCACGCACAGGCTCAGCACCCCCAGACGCAGCACCCCGAGTAGCACCACCCCCAGCAGCACCAGAGTCAACAGTAACCGGCTGCAGAGGCGGCATTGAGGGTCGCGGCGGGAAACCCGGAGGGGTCTCCAAGCGTGGTGTGCGGCGGTAGGCCGCCGGGGCGTCAGCAGTAACGTCCCCCCCCTCAGCTGGGCCAGAAGTGTCGGAAGTGACCTCCAAAGGCTCAGCCAAGGGGAGTGGGTCTACCTGAGACACACCTGAAGGAGCAGGACCCTGAGGGGGAAGGGGGTCTACCGGAGGGGGACCTGGAGCGAGGAAAAGCGGCGGGGGAGGGAGAGGGGCAGTGCGGTAGGGGAAGAGACGGTAGAAAGGAACCGACTCGTCAAAGGTGACGTCCTGAGAAGGGAAGACACCACGCTAGGTGGGGTGGTGAAACTGCTAGCAAAGCGCGTCAGGGACAAAGCCAAGGAAGACACAGGGAATGATACGGGAGGAGAGCTTGTCCGCGGACGTATCGCGGACAAGGGCACGAGCACCCCAGACTCGGAAACGCGACGCATCGCCAACCTCTCCCGTCCAACGCAGTGTGGGCGAGGTGTCTGGCAAGGAGACACGAGGCCAGAGGTTGAGCTGATGCGCGGCGTACCGGACCGCAAACGGCCACAGAAAATGGGGAGCCGCCGCATGGATCAGGGAGGTACGAGCGATCTCCATGACCAAGCCAATGCGGCGCTCAGCAACCCCATTTTGCTGCGGTGAGCCCGGAAGCGTGAACGACTGCTCGATGCCCTCCCTCTGACAGAAGGCCCGCAAGAGGTCGGAGGTGAACTCACCACCTCTGTCAGAGTGCAGACGCAGGACAGGAAGGTACGTACGGAACCTCCGGCGGAGCTGGAGACAAACTGCTCGGATCCAAGGGATCAGGACAGCAGGGACCTCACCCTTGGTGTGCAAGGGGAAGACCGTGGTGTAACGCGAGTAGTCGTCGACAACCAGCAAAAAGTACCGCTCACCGCCCTGTCCACGGACGCGGGCTGGGGCCCCCACGTCAAGGTGGAGGGTCTGCAAGGGAGCCTCTGTCGGGGGAAACAAGGAGGAGTGAGGAGCGGCGCGCTACCGCCCCTCGACGCAGGGAAGACAGGGCGGCGCAGGAGAGGCAGGGAGGGGAGGGAGAGACCTGGGAAGACCAGACACAAGGAGGCGACGGTGCATGCCACGGAGACGTGGCAAGGAGGGGTGACCCAGACGATGGTGCCAGAGAAGAGTCTGGTGCGACAGGGAGCGACACTCACAAGGGGAGGCTACCAGACCTGACGCAGACACCTGACCGACAGCAGTGACCTGAGGAGACACAGTCGGCTGTGTGTAAAGACTCGACCCTGGCCGACGAGTGAACGTGGCCAGGTGACGGCCAGTCTGTGCACACGTGTAGATCACCACACGCAGCCAAGCAGGGGTGAAGGTATTAACCCCCACATCCTGAAGGGCAGCGTTGCTCACCAAGTTCGTCGAGAACGAGGGGAGGTGGAGACCTGACAGTGAGCCAGACGGGACTGCCAGGCACGGAAGCACTGTGGTGGACCGTGCAAGAACTGGGCCCCCTGAGGGGTCAGCCAGAGAGACTGCAACAGGTGCAGGGAGTGGTGTGAGTGCGGTACTGTCACGGAAGAAACAGCGAGAAGCACCTGAGTCAAGCGTGAAAGTGTGCAAGGCCTCAGAAGACGCAGTACCTGAGAGAGCAGACTCGCTCGCACCTAAGGCAGCAGCCTCTATACCTGGGTCAGGCGGCATACACAGGTAGCAGACACCATCAGCACTAACTTCCAATGCATACATGGCAAAGATAATAGCATCAAAGTCAAGAGCAAAAACATCTACACCAGCCTTCCACAGCTCATGCCTAAGAGGGCGCTCATACTCATCGCCCATCTCCTCAATCCAGGCGTCGTCAAGGCGGGAGAAGCAGCGGTACTGGTATGAAACTTGTTGCAAGTCTGACCCTTGCGGTCACCTGTGCGAATGACATAAGGGCAGCGACCACCACCCCCAGACTTCCCACGCTGAGCAAGCCACTCACGAAGCTGCTGGGACGTCTGGGGACGCTGCTGCTGCTGCTGGCTCTGGCCAGCGCCAGTGCCTCCACCCCGACCGCCACCGCCGCCGCCACCACTACCCCGACCGCCACCTCCCCCGCCACCGCCGCCGCCACCGCCACCGCCGCCGCCGCCGCCACCGCCGCCGCCGCCGCCACCGCCGCTACCGACGCTACCACTCCCGCCACCAGCCCCTCCTACACCTCCGCCTCCTCCACCTCCTCCACTACCACCCCCCCCCCCCCCGGTGCCACCTCCGCTAACCTTGGCTCCCTTGCCCCTGCTGTTGCGGCGCCTCCCACTCGAAGCAGAGGCAGCACCAGCAGACTCAGCTCCAAGGAAGTCAACAGCAGCAGCAGTAGCGATAGAGGGGGCGAGAGGAGAGGGAGAGCACCCCTCGAAGATGGGGGTGCGAGGAGCGCCGCGAGCAGCACCTACAGCAATAATGCTCTTCTCTGCTGCAAGGAGGTGCTCCTCTAGGAGGTCTACAGTGAGGTCGGTGGGACTACGAGCGAGGAAATAATCTCTGACCGAGCTTAGAGAGTCAGGGAGGCGGGTAACTATGAAGTGGAGGGTCCAGTACATCGGAGGCGGGTTCTTAGCACAGAACTTTGTGGGGAGGGCGGCACGAAGGCGAGTGTCACTAGTACGAAGGTGGGTGATGAGATCGGCAACTGTGGCAAAGGTGGACAGCTCAGGAAACAGGTAGGGCAGCATGAGGCGGCTAAGCTCAGCTGTGGCAGGAGAGGTGTAGCGAGCAACTACAGCGTCGTACAGGGCCTTAGCGGTTTTGTGCTCGCCAAAGTGCGTGAGCTCAGCTAACGGCAGGTGGTTGCGAATGGCTAGGCGAGCAGCAGCGTCACGAGTCTGCCACTGGGAACGGGCACTAAGCTCAGCGGAGGCAGCAGGAGCAACTGAGGCGCCAGTGGCATGATCATAGAGAGAGACGTTATCCTTGCTATCGCTCATCAGGAACAGCTGCAGGTCATCGAGCCAGGCGTCAAACTGAATCAGGCGGCCCTCAGCATCGAACGAAAGAACACGGAGGGTGGCCATGGCTGTCGGCGCGAGACTAGCAGGGCAGAGCAACGGCAGGCAAGGAGCAGCAGTAGGGGCGGTACGCTAGCTCGCAACAGGCGACCGCAGCAGAGGCAGGCCGCAGGCGGCGCACGGGCGTAGCAGGGAGCTGCTATAGCAGGGCGGGCGGCGTAGCAGGCAGCCGCGGCAGAGGCAGGCGGCGCACAAGGCTGCAAGCGGCCGGCAGGGCAGCAGGGCAGACCGCGCACAGGGCGTAGCTGGCGGCTGCAGGAAAAGGGCGGGCAAGCGGCGCGCGGGGCTGCAAACAGCCAGCTGAGCACCAGGCAGCCTCGGCAGTAGGGCGGGCGGCTCACAGGGCGTAATAGGCAGCCGCGGCAGCGCGAAAGCTGCTAGCAGGCGGCGTGCGGGCTGGCAGGAGCCACGCGTAGGCTGCGCAAGCAGCTGGCGGGTCGCGCGGGCTGCTGGCGGGCTGCGCGCGGGCCAGCAGAGGCGACGCGCGGGCCGCGCAGGTTGCTAGCGGGCTGCGCGCGGGCCCGCAGAGGCGACGCGCGGGTTGCACGCGCAGTGAGCGGGCAGCGCGCGGGCCAGAAAAAAAAAAGCGGCGCGCGGGCCTAGCGGGCCGCGCGCGGGCAAAGGCAGGGCGTGCGCGGTAGTGCGCGACGCAGGGCAGGGTAGACAAGGCGCGGCGTAACGTGGTAACAGTAGTTTGGGCCCGAAAAAAAGATTTCCTAAGGTCCTAAGGACCTCCTGCTCTATACCATGTCATAATAGTAGGTCAAGAGTGGATTAGGGTGTCGAATGATTTTGGTATAAGGAAGAACCCTAAAGTGTTGTACCCCTAATAGTCTACCCCACTACAGCCTATCCAACTTTATAACATACATAAATATGTTTGACAAGTGTGCTGTTGAAATACTCTTCATTTACATGTTTCCAGTAGATTACACTTACAGAATAATGGCAGTTTTGGAAAGCGGGCACATACGGTAGCAAGGGCAATCAGAGCATTCTATTCTCCAAACAGGGCACAACTTGTTACTTGTACCGACGAGGTTGTTGACAAACTGCTGTGTCAGGTCAACGAACCTTCTACACACCGATGCAAAACAATCTGTCCGGAAGCAGGAAGGAGGAAGCCCTCGATGTAATTGCAAGTTGAATCTCCACTTTCCTCCTTCACGCCCTTGCCATTGGGCCTACGATCTACCGATAATTATTCTGCAGACAAGAAAACCAGAAAACAAGGACAGGTGTTTTCTGCTGAAAAGGGGAGTATGTAGGCAATCCTCCAAGTTTGAGGGGAGGCTAAAACAATGGAGTGGCAAGAGAGACCTGCTAAGAACTCCAGATTCAAACCCAAGCAACTTCCAAGAACAGGTTGAGAGCACAACACAAAACCACTTGCTCTCCTCCAACCCACCAAATGCACTTCTGCTGCTCATCAGACCACTTGTAGTCGGGGTGACAGCGACAGTACGCAGTATCATGAACCCGATCGATCTCGCACCAACCTTCCCCACAATCCAGATCGCAGTACTCTGCAACAAAAAGAATACACATGGAAACGGAATGATGGTGCACGGAATGATGGCCTATGGAATGATGACATGACAACCATGAGGTTGCAACACCCACTGCTGCAGGCTGCAACACCCACCGAGCACTTGAAACACGAGGTAGGCTGCATGAACCATGACAGTGCTTGCGGATGCATTCATGAATACCACATGTCCATGACAGGAACGACGGTTCCAGATCAAGTCAGTGCATGAAGCTGAGCTTAGAAAAGTTCTAATACAGCTCATTGGCCCGTTCATTGTTGTGAGCTGAGCTCACATGCTGTGCAAATCTGGGTAGCATGGAACTCACCCCACTGGGTACAGTATGTGATCCTGTCCCCCTCCCTCCAGCACGTTTTGCTGTTCGCACAGGTCACCTTGCATATGTCTGCAGTGGAATGGAGTCAATGCAAAAGAAGGAAACAACTCAGTAGAACGCACTGATAGAAATCCAGGTGAAACAGGCATGACAGCAGCTCACCAGGGTTCCATGAGCCCGTAGCCTCGAGGCAACACCTTTCAACTCACCAATGCAGGTTCCCAAGTCTACGAAGCCCTCATTGCACTGGCAGGTTGGATGTCCCATGTCCTCCGCATTATCGTAGCTTGCCACGCACCAGCCATTGGGGCCACAATCCTTTGTTTGACAAATGTCTGTAGAAAAGAAAACCAAGGCAAGAGAAAGGTTTTCATCTTACAAGCAATACTGATTATGCACGCAATCCGTCAAGAGGGGAGAGTAGATCAAGGAAGTGGCAAGAGAAACCCGCTTAGCTACAAACTCCAGATGAAAGCCGAGCAATTCCCAGAGCAGGTGGAGAACTCCGCTTGCACTCCAACTCACCATCGCAACGGAGCTTGTCAGCAGACTGCTTGAAGCCTTTGCCGCATTCACAATACGGATTTCCGTTTGTATCCTTCTTGCATGAGCCGGGATAGCAGACAGCACCAAACCAATCACAGTTGTCTGCAGAAAAGAAAAGAGAAAAACCATTAAAGAGGAACGGCGATGAACAGGATACAAACATAGAGGGGAATGATGAGCTTTGACAAGCATGGAATTAGGTACGGAGCATTCACGCAATCATTGATGTATTGCCACGCTTGACGACCGGTCAAGTGGAGCAAGGGGAGTGGAGCAAGGGGAGTGGAAGGCAGTCAACTGAGCTCACCATTGCAAGATCCGTCACTTAGCGTGAAGCCGGTGATGCAAGTGCATTCCGGATTTCCGTCTGCATCCGTCCTGCACTTGCCGCCGGTCCCACAATCCACTGATTCACACTTGTCTGCACACATACAAGGAAATGGTGAGGTTTGACAACAATGGAGTCACGTAGTGATGAAGCGTGAGTATGATGCCTGCTGACTATTTGAGAAACCAAAGGCAGATTGATCTCCCAAGCATGCATAGATCAGTGACGTGATTCTCACCCCCAGTATCACACCATTGATCCCTTAATCACAATGCCACTGTCCCCAGTTCTAACGTGTAGGCCAGCATAACGTGCTACTTCCACCATGCCTTTTTCTTGTTAGATGGACACTCGGGACGACTGAGCAAGTGCAGCAGCTCAACTCAAGCACAACTCACCAACGCAAGCATCGTTGCCCGGAAGCCTCTCGAAGCCCTTGATGCACTCGCAAGTTGTATTCCCGTTTGCATCCTTGACGCACGTTGAGTTGGCCTTGCACGTCACAAACTCGCACTTGTCTGCAATGCATGCGGATTAGGAGACGAGCAATAGAGGTGCGATTGAGCAATACGTGAAAAATGGAATGGGCGGTAGGAGGAGAAAATCATCACACGTGAGAAATAACCGCGTAGCATGGGCTAAGAATGGCATCACTCGCTGCAGGTTGCAAGTTGCAGCAAGAGCACAGGAAACACGAGGTAGGCAGAACGAACCAGGGAAGTGTAGCAGTGCTTACAGAATGGATGCATGCATGCACTCCAGGCCCATCCAGTAATGAATCGCTCGCTCCAGGTGCCACTCTGGGCAACTCACCAACACAAGTGCTCCTGTCGGGAGGCATCTGGAAGCCAGCGTTGCAAGCACAGGTGGCATTTCCATTCGCATCCTTGATGCACTTGCTATTGGGCCCACAGTTCACGAACGAGCATTTATCTGCAACGGGAGAAAGGGGCCATGGAAGCAAGCAAGGGTGACATGCTCGGGATGGATGCATAAGGAAAGTGAATAGCAAGAATGCATTCATTGGTTACAAATTGCACTTGTTTGAACTCACGTGCAGTCTCAGTTACACGGCAAACAACTCACCAACGCAGGTGTTGCTGTTGGGAGCGTATTGAAAGCCCTTATTGCACACACAATCCGGGACCTTGCTCGCATCCCTCACACAACTGGCGTTGGCCACACAGTACAGATTGCACTTGTCTGCGGTGGAAAGGAGTAGGTGCAGAAGAAGAGGGAAAAGGTCACTAGAACGTACAATGGGCCACAATGGGCCAGCTTTGGAAAAGCCAATAGAATCATGCATGCTCCTCTCGTCAGAACAGCACAATGAGCAAGACATTGGCCTACAATGAGTATGCTGGCAAGCACATTCCTTTTGCACCTTGGCAACCACAGCCGTGCACGCGAGCACAGCACTGTACCTTGGCAGGTGCCGTTGATGACAGCATAGCCGTCCTTGCAGCGGCAGGTGGCTGCCCTGCTGTCGAAGTCGCTGGTCTCCCAGCACACGGAGTTGGCAGGGCATGTGGTGTACTTGCACACCGTGGCGGTCGCTGCACACCCAAGCACGAGCAGATTCCAAGGAGCTGAATTTTCAGAACCCATGGGCCAATTAAAACAGGTTTTATGCACTAAGTGGTGAAAGGCAGCAAGGGGTGAAAGGCAGCAAGGGGTGAAAGGCAGCAAGGGGTGAAAGGCAGCAAGGGGTGAAAGGCAGCAAGGGGTGAAAGGCAGCAAGGGGTGAAAGGCAGCAAGGGGTGAAAGGCAGCAAGGGGTGAAAGGCAGCAAGGGGTGAAAGGCAGCAAGGGGTGAAAGGCAGCAAGGGGTGAAAGGCAGCAAGGGGTGAAAGGCAGCAAGGGGTGAAAGGCAGCAAGGGGTGAAAGGCAGCAAGGGGTGAAAGGCAGCAAGGGGCCGAAGGCAGCAAGGGGTGAAAGGCAGCAAGGGGTGAAAGGCAGCAAGGGACGTACGGAATCCGCAGACAACTGACGCGAGTGCTTGAGATGGTGTGATGGTCGCCGTGTTGCTGCTTGGGGGAAGAAGAAGAAGAAGAGATTACAAGGCAAAACACAGCTTTGAGCCATGGTCCCGCCTTCTCTGATCCCATCTAATTTCACTCCGTTCAACGCCACCAGTGCCATCCTCTCCCTCCCACCACTCCCCTCCTCCCATCCCCCACCCTTTGCCCTGCCTTGCCCCATATGCATCACCGACTTATATTCCACAGCACTGCCTTGCACGAGCACGGACCTGGAGAAGGAGTAGATGTGCTGCATGACGGCGCCGTTGCAGGTGGTGCCCGGGAAGAACGACACCCGGGAGCACGGCCCACTGGCCCCACCGCCCGGCAAGCTGCTGGCGCTGCCCCACTGCACGCTCGCCACCGTGCTCACGCCGGCGGGCGCCGTGGCGTCGGGCAGGCGGGAGCAGCGCGAGGAGGGGTCGAAGGAGAAGTTGTAGCGGCCCACCTTCACCGCCGTCGTCACTGCCACCCTCGCCTCCACCTCCGTGGGCCACCCCGCACTTCGGTCCACCGGGTCTCCGGCTGGTGCAACCGGGGTGACGCCAGGTGACGCGATGCAGTGAAGGCGCGGGCAGAGCAACATGCAGGGGGGTCAATTGGGTAAGAGAGAGAGAGTCCCCTTTCGACCACTATATTTAATACAAGGTCCATTCGTGAGAGGAGGACTCGCGGCTCGTGAGGCACGAGGCAGCGAGTGAAGCTGCTGTGGCGGAGGGAGGGCACCTGTCATACAGTGGCAAGCTCTTGCTGCACCGCTTATAGATACGTGCCTTGGGCATGCCCTGCAGCGCAGGCCACGCCTTTGGTGTCCGTGGCTGGCGTGGGGGTGCCAATGGCAGGGCACGTGACGTACAGGCACGCGGATGAGGCATCTGGTATTAAATCACCGGGATTGCTGCGCAGCGACAGGCATTCTACCGACTGGGCGTGTACAGGAAGGGCGACAAGGGGCGTACCGATAAAGCAGCGAGCCGAAACTGGATACGGATAGAGGAGACTGGAATTGGTGGTGCTAGTGGTCAGGCTGGAGAGGGAGGGGAGGCACAGGAAGCACGCGAGAAAAGAGATTCTGGTTGAGCCACCATGGAAAAAATCACGCTGCCTCGTATAAAGCTTAAATCTCATACCGTTTTATCATACGATTCCAGGCAACCAGCTTTGGTTCGACGCCAACACATAAGTCAAATCAAACTCGACCGCACTGTACCCCACCCCACCCCACGGCACAGGCGCGACGCTGACCTGGCGGGCTTGAGGGAGAGCGAGGAGGTGCCGGTGCAACCCGCGCCGCTCCAGAAGGTGATGTTGGCGCACGCGGGGAGATTGGGCGCGGCAGCGGACGTCCACTGCACGGAGACGCTGTAAGCGGTGCGCGGCAGGTTGGTGCAGCGCGCCGCGGAGAAGTTGGACGCGAAGGTGCTGGGCGGAGACGTGACCGTGATCCGCGTCGCCACCGGCGCCAGCGGCGCGGGCATTGGAAACATGACTTGACCGGACGCCGCGCGGATGACGTCACTCGCTGCAGCGGAGGGCGAGAAGGGACGAAAGGGGAACAGAGAAGGGCGGAGAGTTGGCTGGTGTGGTCTGCTCTGGTCGGTCCGCATTCCGGGCATCCTCCAGTCGAGTTCGGTAGCGTGAGAGGCAGAATGCCGCTTTCGAGCGTGAGGAGTGACGGGGAGAACGCGCTTCAGTGCGGACACACTGCCAGTGCAGGCGAGTGTGAAGGCGAGAAATGGTGGGCGGTGGGCACAAAATAAACGAAGGACCGACGAAAGCACACTGCCATGCGCACAGGGCAGCATTCGCGGGGCGGCACGGCGGGTGGACTGACCGAGAATGAGGGCGAGCGCGAGCAGCGCGAGCAGCGCCGGAAAGCCGCCCATCGTGGCGAGCGGAGCGGAAAACCGATCGGCGCAGCGGAGAGGCGCGGCGGAGAGGCGCAGCGCAGGTGACGGTAGCGATGGTGGATGGCAGTGGTTGGCGCAATATGGGCGCAGATTCGCCGACGATGGTTGGGCAGAATGAGGGGCGGCGAGATAGTCTCGCAGAGAGAGCCACGGCGAGATGGCACAACAGGGGGTTATGGCACAGAAGCGGCACTTGACGAGGCTCCATGGCTGCTGTGGGCTGGCTATTTGAAGTGCGCGCTCGACGCTGCCACGCCGCTGCGAGGTGAGCAAGGTTGTGGAACGCGATAGCGTGGCTGGCGGGGGAGGAGGTCGCTAAGAGAGCGGGGAATGCGGTGGGAGTCAAGCGGATGGAACGCGATGAGTCACTGAAGGATGGTGGGGGAGCATTCGGGAGGAACGATTCACGAAATCTAGGGTCAAAACACTTGGATGTCGGAAAGGTGGGCGAAGCTACTTACTCGAGCAGGCAACCAATCGGTTGGGCACAGATTGTAACCCTTGGCTGTGACTATTTCCAAAAGTTTCATTTCTCCCATGTCAACAAGGGAAATACGCCCCTATTGTGTCGCTGAACGCGGTTCAGAGGGTGTCTCAAATCCCTCGGTCCACCCCGGCTCTATGCGGTCGATGGGGACCAGTCCACCAAACCACATCGGACCCAAGCGTGGACCCGCTCCCTGAGCAATGTGGACCATGGGTGTAGCAAACCAGCACCCTCGTTTTAGCTTGCGAAAGGGACTATAATGGGGAGGAAATCCTGGTTCAGCGAGCTGGTCCACGTCGGACCCCTGAACAGTCATAGTATTGGCGAACACTCACGAAGTCACCTCTCTCCGTCGCAAAATTTGGCACCCACACGCGTCAGGGAGAAGCTGAGCAAGTGTACTGTACAGTCTTGTGTCATAGTAACCCAGTTTCTCTCGCCTACACGCGATTGTAGCAAGCATCTGCGGACCCAACAACAATGAGTTCGAAGCTGTGCGCCTCGGAGGGTTTGGGATCCGGGCGGCGGCCTCTTTGAGTCCGCTCTCCTATGTTTGTGGGTGGGCGCAGGCCGCACGGGATATTGCACATTTGGGGGTGGCGGGCGAGGAGGCGATGTTTGCAGAGTACCTCACCACTTCGGCGGGGGCGGAGCTTCTTGACCCGTGGTTTGCCAAGGCCATTGAGCAGTTGCCCGCGACTATACGCCAGGAGCTGCCGGACTTACCCCTGTGTGTGGCGGCCCCTCCTCTTCGGCTTTTCCAGGCGCGGCAGCGGCAGTTGGCTGTTGAGGAGCTCCAGGCACTCCGCCGCTTGGCTCGTGACGATGCCACCCTGGCCCGTTTCACATCCCTTCAGGGCCCGGGGGCTGGTGCATGGGTTTCGGCAGTTCCGGCTCATTCAGATCTCACATTCACTGCAGCGGAGTGGGGCATTGCTGCTGCTATACGGCTTGGTCTCCCAATCCAGCAGCTGCAAGTGGCGGGGAGGTGTGTTTGTGGCACAGCGTATGATGACCCAGCAGACCCGCATCATGCGCTGAGATGCAAGCACCAACACGGTCCATCTCGGGTGCATGATGAGGTGAAGTTTGCGGTGGCAAAGATCGCTAAGGCGTCAGGGGGGGTGGTGACGATGGAGGATAGTGCGGTGCTGCCGGGGAAGCGGGTTGACGTAGCGGTGCGACGACCAATGGCTGGGGAGGCTCATGCTTTAGAGATTAGTGTCGCGGACCCGCTATCACTGTCTCCATCTCTGCTAGGGCAGTGCGGGCGGTCTATAGGCGTGGCGGCAAAGGAGTGGGAGCGTCGCAAAACGGGGGATTACGCGCCTCTTCTTGCACGGAACCGAGGCGTGCAGTTCACCCCTTTGATAGTGGAGACGTGGGGGTGTCTCGGCGGTCGCTTCCGGCGGTGGCTTCGACAGCAGGGGGACGCGCACGTGGGGCTAGCTGTGTCACGGGGGGCTTGTCGGGAGGATGACACTTCGTTCTCGGCTTACCTTTTGGGGTCTCTGAAGGCGCTCATCGGAGTGGCGTTACAACGGGCGCAAGCTCGTGTCATCCTGCTTCGGGCGGCGTCTTCCATGGGGGGGTTGAATGTGGACTTGGTGGATCGGGAGAGGGACGATGTCGAGGTGGAGGGCGGGCCTCTTTGGGTGGAGGCCCCCTACATGGTGGATGTGCAGATGTGACTTGGGGGGGAGGGGGGGGGGGGGGGGGAGGGGGAATGGGGTGCGAGATGGGACGTCTGGTAGGGGATTTTGGTTGGGTTTTTTCTTTATGGAGTATTTTTATGGGGCTTTTTATGGGTGTTGCGTTTGAGTTGTTTCTGGTGTCTTTCTTTCCCTTTTCCTTCTCCCTCTTTCCCTTTTCCTCTTTCAAAAGCGTGAAGCCAGTTTCTGGGACTTAATATGAGTTCGAAGCTGGTTCACTCGGTTGGTCCACACTGGTCCGACGGACCAGCCCAGGGTATTTCTGTAGGCACAAATTCAGGGACGGACCAGGTTTGGGCGGACTGGCGGACCAGCCAAAGTGAGACACGTCCTCAGCATCGCGTTGGGTAGTCAAGCAAAAATGGAGATTGTATAAACTGTATTGTTCCTATAACATTCTATTTGTTATGAGTTTTACTAGACAGAGTGCGCAAAAGACTTTATAAAGAGACTGTGATTACCGAATCACGAGAATGGTAAAGGAACATGCATTTATATGGTCGAAATCGTGCTAGGCGAGAACCTCGTGACGTGCGAGGGTTGGATGTGTCGCGATTGGTGCGGGGCGACTCGGCGCTGGTTCGGTACGAAAGTATAGCCCGAGCCTTCCTGACGCGAAGTGCTCGGGCTGTCCTCGCTAGGAGCAGCCTCTACAGTAATGAATGTATATTCATTACACTCTCCCACCTTCTAAATAAGGTGCACTTATACGAAGCCGAGTCTTGCAGTAGCGTGAAAACTGCAGATCTCGGTTGAAAACTGATCCGACGGTGTAGAAAGCCGTTGACTTTCGTGCTAACGCGTAGTTGACGAGTTGACCAGGCGAATTTCAAACATTTTGAATTTCAGCCGTCGATGTTGATCGTGTGGTGGTGAAGCTGGCGATGCTGGCGAGAGTTCTGACACGCTGTCAGATGTCGGTCAGGTGTCAGAACTGGTGAATCCACAACCGTTGATGACGCTGAAGCTATCGCGAGCGTCCCTCGTGCGGGATCTGTCGGACGAAAATGCTTGAACTGTTGAGGAAAACAGCGCGAAAAATACTTTCTCTCCCCCCCTTCAAAGAAAAGGGTCGACCCCAGCTGCGCCGGTAGAAGACGCCAATCACCCTGCCGCCGAGTGTAGGTAACACCAAAAGTTAAGAATCCCGTCAAAAGTTAGCAGCTACCCTGTCGAAATGTGGGCGGTGGCGAAATATCAATGCTGTGGCGCTTACGAAACATCCAGGGTAAGTGCGCTGAAGCCCCTTGAAGATAATATCGTTGTGCACGGGGGCTCGAACCCTTGGAAATATTTTTTTCCCAGAAAACATTCTTTTTGTCTTGTAGTCGCGACTGCTGCTGCAGAATCTCTTGTGACTGCCACCCCGAAATCCTTCGCGTGGCAGTGTCGAATCACTTTTCTGCTGCCGAATCTCCAGTTGTCAGCTGTTGCAGTCCCGAAATTGCTGCTGCCTGTCAAACATGATATGTGTTGGTTGTTGTTAGGCTACAGTGGGTTAGACCATATGGGGTACAGATCTCTAGGGTTTACTATTTGTACTGCCTTCCTTGTTAGTTCAGTCATTCCTGTCCGTTCATTCTGACATGGTTTCAGAGCAGGTCCTTCGCTAGGACCGTTTTTTTTAAGGGCCCACCGTTACCTACCTACCTAGGGCGCCTCAAACTCTTTTACGGCCCCTACCTCCCGCGACCCGCGACCCGCCCCTTAAGGCCCCGTCGCGCCGCCCCTTAGCCGCTCGCGCGCGGCCTTTTTTTTTTTTTTTTTTCCCGCGCGCGCCTGCTTTCCCTCGCGCGCGGCCCGTCGCCTGCTCGCGCGCGCCCCGCAGCCGCCCGTCGCCTGCTCGCGCGCGCCCCGCAGCCGCCCGTCGCCTGCTCGCGCACGCCCCGCAGCCGCCCGTCGCCTGCTAGCGCACGCCCCGCAGCCGCCCGTCGCCTGCTCGCGCGCGCCCCGCAGCCGCCCGTCGCCTGCTCGCGCACGTCCCGCAGGCCCGCAGCCCGCTGTCGCAGCGGCCGCCCGCCCGCAGCCGCCCGTCGCCTGCTCGCGCGCGCCCCGCAGCCGCCCGTCGCCTGCTCGCGCACGCCCCGCAGCCGCCCGTCGCCTGCTAGCGCACGCCCCGCTGCCCGCAGCCGCTCGTACGCCGCTGCTTCCGCTGCTGCTTGCGCACTGCTGCCTCCCGAGCGCCGCCGCTGCCTGTGCGCCGCCGCTGCCCGTGCGCCGTCGCTGCTCCTACGCTGCCGCATGTGCGCTTCTGCAGCCGCCGCCCGCGAGGCACTCGCTCTCACTGTTGTTTACCTTCTACCTACTACTGCCGCTCGTGTGCCACTACGGACAGTCGACCCCGCCCGCGCCTTGCCTAGCGGCCCCGCCGGCCCCGTTGACCCTCCGCACACCTTTCCAGCGGCCTGATTCC